AGTGAAAATATCTGCAGTCATTTGTTTTAGAGTTACACCAAAATAAGAAAATCGCTAAATGTGAAATACAGTGAAAATCCAATGTTGTAAAAATTTAAATTTCAAATGCTCATAATAATTTAATTTGAATTTCCGGTGGACATTTTTTTTGTGATTAAGATGAAAAACTTATAACGAATCTTGTATTAAATTTTCAAATCWTAGATTTAAAAATAACATTTTTTATGAATTTCTAGCTTAAAATAATTTGCGTATTTTCGCRATTTTTACGTATTTTGTCAAAATTCAAACTTTGAATGCTTATAAAAAAAATTGTGACGATGAATTTCTTTTATTTTTCAACTGCTATTATAACAATATGTTTAAAACCTTGTATTACATTTTCAAGATCTTCTACCCAAAAAATAGATTTTTATCGATATTAATTTAAAAAAAACTAATTATGATTGAAAATTGCATACCTAGGTAAGTAATAAGATTTTACAAAAATAGTTTCATTGCATAAATTTGTGGTAAATAATAAATATGGTTTAAAAATAAAACTCTTTAATATAGTCAAAGATGATGGGATAAACTACTGTCTACTTATAAGTATATCATTCTAAATTTTAGTATTAATATTCATAAATCTAATACAAAACAAGGTCAACCATCAAGGGTTGCAAGGGGGTGAAATTTCACACCTCAAGAAAAAATATTGTAATTTTTTTAGTTTTGAAAAATAAAATAATTTTACTAATGATTATACTATATGATGTACATATAGGTTTTTATCGTAATACCATAGATTAAGCATACACTAGATAGCCCATTCAATAGTAATTCAGTGCCRCTTGTAATATTTGCAGTTTTGATTCCAAAGATATTAGTTTAGWTTCCGAACAATGATGTCGCATTTTCAAAAATTATTTTTTTTATCGCTTATTGATATCAATCATAAATTATAATTCACATTATAGATATTGATTTCAAAATGATGTGCGTTTTTTTTTTTTTTGTATCTGTACTGTGTATCTACACGATAAGTTGTCGAAATAGAGATTAGATTTTCAATTTCAGTAGCTTTTTTGGTTGGAAAGTGAATTTATTTGATGCATTGGGTAGGTAAAATTTTGAAATTCCAAGTAGTTTTCAAAAGCATCGGGGGAAAAAAAAAATAAGGAAAAATGGGATTTTTTACGCAAAATCAATTTTTAATATAATCGACTTTGGAGATTGGTATAACTCTAAAACAAATTGCCATACACATGACATTTTTCCTGAATATTTATTCTGTATACTTGATAAAATTATCAAAATTTTTCAAATCTTTTTAAGTTCTTTATAGACATTTAAAATTTTCAATCTTTTTACTTTATTTTTAGATTAGATTGAGCAGAGCGAGGAATGTATTGATTTTACCATGATATGTGTTATGTAAAATTT